CCTCCCCATGGCCATGTTGATGTCCACATCCATGGCCATGGCAGCGTCCCTCTCCACGGCCACGGTGACATCCACATCATGGCCACTGGGACATCCACGGCCGTTGGGTCATCCCCATTGTCCCCACCCGCAGCCACGCCGGCCATCCTCATCGCTGTCCCCAACCACGGTCGTTGGGGACATCTGCATCCACGGCCACGGCAGCGTCCCTCTCGATGGCCACGGTGATGTCCCCATCCACGGCCGTTGGGTTGCCCCATCCACAGCCGTGCCGATTGTCCCCACCCAGGTCCCCGTGGTCATCCTCACCCCTGCCCCCTCACCCAGGCAGGTGATGCTGAGGCCGAAGCCGGAGAGGGCCATGCCACCGGCGAAGCGGAAGACGCAGTAGGACGCGTAGTTGGGGGCGAAGGCCGTGCACGTCCCCATCACCCCCAGCTGCAGGTAGGACCACATCAACATGGCCTTGCGCCCAAACCTGCAACAGGGAGGCACCGGCTGCCACCGGCTGCCACCGGGTGCTGGCCTGCCCAATGCCCCGTGGGGAAACTGAGGCACGGGGAGGGGTCTCTGCTGCCCTCACCTGTCCGAGAGGCCCCCCAGGACCAGGGCGCCCACCAGGACCCCAGCCATGTAGACGGACTGGGCCATCTGCCGGAGCTGCCGGTAGCTGCAGACGAGGTCCCACTGCGGGGACGGGGACGAGGTGAGGGCGACACGTCCTCTCCTGCCACCCCTCAGTCCCTCTTCTCGCCGCCAGCCGCCCGTTCCGCCACCTCCCCCCCGCACCAGCCCCATAGCCCCATCTGCTCCACATGGCGCCATCTCCATCCCCCCAACCCGATACAGCGCCATCTCCATCCCCCCAACCCTATAGGGCTCCATCTCCACCCTCTATCTCCCTATAGCTCCATCTCCATCCTCCCAACCTGATATGGCTCCATCTCCATCGTCCCAACCCTATAGGGCCCCATCTCCATCCTCCCAACCCTATAGGGCTCCATCTCCACCCTCTATCTCCCTATAGCTCCATCTCCATCCTCCCAACCTGATATGGCTCCATCTCCATCGTCCCAACCCTATAGGGCCCCATCTCCATCCTCCCAACCCTATAGGGCTCCATCTCCACCCTCTATCTCCCTATAGCTCCATCTCCATCCTCCCAACCTGATATGGCTCCATCTCCATCGTCCCAACCCTATAGGGCCCCATCTCCATCCTCCCAACCCTATAGGGCTCCATCTCCACCCTCTATCTCCATATGGCTCCATCTCCATCCCCCTAACCCTATAGGGCTCCATCTCCATCCCCCCAACCCAATAGGGTTCCATCTCCCCCCTCTATCTCCATACGGCTCCATCTCCATCCCCCCAACCTGATATGGCTCCATCTCCATCCCCCAAACCCTATAGGGCTCCATCTCCACCCTCTATCTCCCTATGGCTCCATCTCCATCCCCCCAACCCTATACGACTCCATCTCCATCCTCCCAATCCTATAGGGCGCCATCTCCATCCCCCCAGCCCTATACGGCTCCATCTCCCCCCTCCGTCTCCCTACGGCTCCACCCAGCCCCATACGACTCCATCTCCATACGGTTCCATCCCTCCCTCGCCCTGTCCCCGCCTTGGAGATGTCGGTGGCCCCGCGGACGCCGCGGTCATCTTCCCACCCTCCGTCCCGCCCGCCTCC